CTAACATACCGGCAAGCGGCGGCATCACCATAGCCACGAGAGGAGTGATGGAACTCATTATCGCCGTCTCTTCCACGTTTATTCCCAGTTCTCTCATGTGTATGGTCAAGTATGGATATAACACGTAAAGTGCTAAAGTAAAATCGCAGTTAAAAATCTTGTTACGGTGAAGAAAAATTATTTAAAAAATTATTTTTATATAAAAATATCATTCCAACTAACTTTATTATTCAATGGACTTTAATAACTAATTTTCTGATGAATTGATAATAATTTCTTTAATGACGATATACAGCTGATAATATTTTACTATTTTAATTTTGAATATTAAATGTTAAATTAGACCAGTTAATAAATATAAAAATTATAATAGCAAAATAGATAATTATAATAATTTAAGTTGGTCAGATTCATATTGAAATAGTCAATGCAGGAATATTTTTATATTTTTATGTGTTCAAATTTTAACTAAAATTTTATAAAAACTAATTATGATTAATTTATTTAATCTTAAATATATATATACATATGCATTTAAATTTACTAACAATAATAATGATCGTTGTTATTTTTTTTTTGTTATCCTGCTTTTTGTATTAACAGTATATTTAAGTCGCTATGCTCCAAGAACACCTACAACTCCTCAAAGACACTTATTATTTCATCCGCAATCACTCTCACCCGCTGTAACTTGCGATAGAAGCATTTGTCCCTCACCTACTCCAATGTTTCAACATCTTTGTCACGCAGTTGCATATTGGGAAAAATTTTTACTTGATCGCTCTCCTACACCTGGCACAGATCAAGAAAACATTGCGTCTTCGACTTCTAATGAGGAACCAGATAGTGGTGATGTTCAACCGTCTGGATCTTCATGTTTTGCTTCTGCATCTTATCCACCAATTTCCCCAGCACGTCGCATGACTATTCCTTCTATACGTGTCTTAGAGTATGATACCCATCAAGTAGTAACGCTAGATCCTGTGTACCCCTTGCATACAGACCTGGACGATATTAGTCAGCCAGAGAATGGAGTAGTAGCTGATGCTGAAATCAGTGCCTCGGATAGTGAATCTGAAGCATCAGCCAAAGAAGATCAATCGGAGCCAATCACCGAAACACCATACGTAGCTAATGAAAATGAAATTCTTGGAACGGTAAGCAGTAATTCCGCACAATACAATTCTTAATTAGAATACATGTTTATAACAAGATAACATATTTACAATTCATAGAACTTTTTTTATAAAAGTTTTTCTGGATTACTTCGATTTATCATGAATATATAATTTTATATTGCATTTATTTCCTGTAGTTACTATACTGTTATCAATTAATAGGCTGGCGAAGTCGTTGCAGAACTACAAGAAGAACAAAAGTCTTTGATATGGTTCTTAATGAAACAAGTTCGTCCTGGCATGGATCTGTCTAAAGTTGTATTGCCGACTTTCATTCTGGAATCACGATCGTTTCTGGAAAAACTGGCCGATTCGTATTATCACGCCGATTTATTGTCTCAGTTAGTAAAACGTAGTAATATAATACATTAGTACATTATTATTTTCTTAACATATACAATTAAAGGAATATAATTTCTAAATTTTATTTCAATTTACAGAGCAGTATTGGAAGATGATGCATTTACACGTATGAAAGCTGTAGTGAAATGGTATTTATCGGGATTTTACAAAAAACCACAAGGCTTGAAAAAGCCATATAATCCGCTTTTGGGCGAAACATTTCGCTGTTATTGGCAACATTCTAATGGTTCAAGAACATTCTATTTAGCCGAACAAGTATGATCTAAAAGATAGTAAATTATTGATTAAATTAGATTGTGTGTGTGTGTGTGTGTGTGTGCGCGCGCGCGCGCGCGCGCGCGCGCGTGTGTGTAACTAATTATTCATTATTTTTTTGAAAAAGTAATGTTTGGTATTAACAAATACATCTAAAACTTTCTTGTTAGTTATCGCATCATCCACCTATCTCAGGATTTTATGTGACAAATCGTCAAGATGGATTTACTATCAGCGCTACTATTATTGCAAAATCTAAATTTTATGGTAATTTATTTATTATTTAATATAGATTATAGTAATATTGATATAGAGCCGGTGTATATAGCAATAACAATATTTATAATATATATGTCTTACAGGAAATTCGACTTCTGCAGTTTTGGATGGTATCGCTGTATTGACGATGTTGCCGAGAGGCGAAGATTATACAATGACAATTCCTTATGCACATTGCAAAGGCATTCTTATGGGGACATTATCTATGGAACTCGGTGGAAAAGTGAACATAATATGCGAGAAGACTGGCTATCACACAGAATTAGAATTTAAACTTAAAGTAATACACATAATATATTTGATTTTTTTTATACAGTTACCAATATTATCAATAAAATTACGATTTATTTTAAAGATATAACGAAATCTTAATTTATCTCTTATGTTGTAATAAGATTTAATTATATTAATTTGACTAAATAATATAAAATAATATTAAAAATAATGTTAATATAATTAAAAATGTTACAATAATATATATATTTTTAGCCGTTTCTTGGCGGTGCGGAATTAATGAATCAAGTTGTAGGACGAATACGCCTAGGAAAGGAAACTTTGGCTACTATTATGGGATATTGGGATGGATTAATTTTAATAACGGATAAACGGACAGGGGTAAACTTAAATCTTAATCAATAATTTTAGATAACTATTAACATAATGTTTTATTTTACAGCAAGAAAATATTTTTTTCAATCCTACTCCAGAAATACGCAAAAAAAGATTGAAAAAATATACTGTTCCTTTGGAACATCAGGGAGCATGGGAAAGTGAAAAATTGTGGTTGGCTGTTACACAAGCTATTAATAAGGACGACCAAGTTGCCGCTACTGACGCTAAAACTCGACTCGAAGAAGCACAAAGAGAACGCGCTAAAGAGCGAAAGAGACTAGGACAAGAATGGATTCCAAAATACTTCGTTCAAGTATGATATGCATCATTTTCATATTTAATGTTTATGTTTATATATTGTCAAATATTTATCGGATATTAATATTTGCAAAATAATTTCCAACTTTTTTTTATTTTATTAGGATATTATAACTGGAAATTGGGTTTATCGACATGCTGATATAAGACCATGGGATCCGAGAAATGATGTAGTACAATATGAAGAAAATTATGTAGTGCGCACAAAGACCAGGCATAAAACACCTATTATGCGTACTGGTAGTATTGTTTCTACTGAACCCCAATCACAGGTACAGCGATGTAAGATGTAGTTCGCATTATGCATGCTGTTTTAATATTTGTACACATTTGTATAAGTAATAATTACATTAATCGCTTTATGTGTCTATTTTATTCTTTTTCCGGCAAGATTATTGAACAATTGCATGTTATACAGTTTCATTCTATTTGCTATCGATGAATTTAACTAGATTGTATACAGCTCTGATATTTTTAATAAACTTGTTTCGCTTGACTTGTAATTTACATTGGTATTAATATTAATTAGGTTATTCTATTATTCTATATATATATATA